TTTTTTTTTTTTGTATTAACAGTGGTTTTGACTACACCCTAGAAAAATATATTATGAAATATTTGGTATATACAAAATAATGTAACATAGCTCAAAATAATGAAGCATAATAATATGAAAACTTGAGAACCCAATACCGAATCTAAGAACGTTACTAGAACAATTTGGCATTCCACTCCCCTGCCACACCATGTGCTTTTCCCTTGATCCTATTCCCTCAGAAGTAACTTCTATCCTGAAAATTTTAAACTAATTTCCTTTTCACTATAGATTTATCATATGTATATATGTGCCCAGATCCCCAGGTTTTCCGGTATTCAACTCTATTTTTCTATATCTTGCTTTCCCCCGCAACACAACACTGTTCCTAAGATTCATCTATATTGACGTAACTAACTGATTTTCACTACTGTATTTCAGTGTATAAATATTCCACTACCTTATTTATCCATTCCCTTGTGGAAGGACATTTGGATTGCTTCTAGTTCTTGACTTTTATCAATGGTTCATGAACATTCTTCTACATCTTTTCTTCGGATCCATGGTTCTAAGTTTCTCTAGGAGTGGAACTGCTGGATTAGGGGGTGTACCCATCTTCAGGTTTACAATATAATGCCAAATTATTTTCCAAAGTGGTTTATAAGAATTCCTATTGCTCTACCATGCTTGCCAACACTTGGTATTGTCAGCCTTATCAATTTGGTGGGTTCAAAATAGAATCCCATTCTGGTGTTAATTTGCATTTTCCTAATTAGTAATGAGGTTGAATACAGGAGTGATTCAAAATATTTAACAACTAGATATAGTTGGTACAGGAGGACTCCTACTAGCCCAGGTGTTGATAATCCTTTAACTTCTGGTGGGCAGGGAGGATACAGGGTCTAGGGACTCATGTAGCCAGGGTGGCACTTGGTCTCAAAGTACTGAGTACATACCAACCAGTACAGAAGTACTTTAAATAGTTAAGAACAGGTACAGCCATATCAGCTGTATTAGTCTGTTTTTGTTGCTTATAACAAAATACTTGGAACTGGGTAATTTATAAGAAAACAAAATTTATTGCTTATAGTTTCTGAGGCTGGGAAGTCCAAAGTCCACTTGGTGGTGGCAACAGTGACCCAGGGGTCTCACATTGCAAGATGGTGGAAGCAGAGAAAGACAGATTCTCCTCTTCTTTTAAAGCCCTCAGAACCATGCCCTTGACCACCATTTTTAATCCATTCACTACTGCACGGTCCTACAATCCAATCACCTCTTCAGGGCTCCACATTTTAGTTACCATAATAGGATTTCTTACCCTCTTAACAATCACAGTGGGGGCTAAGTTTCTAATAAACAAAACTTGGGGGGCACAATTCAAGCTTCAGTGAGTTTTGGGGGGACATAACTTAATCCACTACATCAACTCACTGTTAATGTTTATTCTTTTGTGCAATGCCTATTTGTCTTGTGCCACTTTTTTACTGGATTATCTTTGTTGACTCACAGGTTTTGTTATATAGCCTGGGTACCACTAATTGTTTACCAGTATATGATATATGCCATATCCCAGTTTGTGTCTTTTCAAAAGTAGAAGTTCTTAATGAAGTAGAATTTATCACATGTTCCCTCTATAGATAGCACTTTTTGTACCTTTACTTTTGATATCTGACAGGGCAAGCTCCTTAATCCCATTCTCCTTTTGTAAGAGCATCATGGCTATTCTTGGCTTATTATCTTCCATATTAATTTTAGAACCACTTGTAAGGTTAACAGAAGTATTCTTCTGGGATTTAGCTCAGATACATATTTAACCAATGGGATCAACTTGTGAAGAATTAGCAACTTATGATACTGAATTTTCTATCTGTGAACATGGTTATATTTCCCCATTTGTGCAGATCTTTTTCCCAAATCTTGTACAGGGATTCGAAACTTGGCCTTGGTATTGTCAGCACCATGCTCTCCCAAGTGAGCTAACCAGCCAACCCTAAATGCCTTTGATAAAGTTTTATAATATTCTCTGTAAAGTTATTATAAGCCTCTTGTTTAATTCATTCCAACTTCTACATTTTTTTCTTGCTATTTTAAACTGTACCTTTTGTTGAAAATTATGTTTTAAATTATTGCTGGTGTCACATACTTTTTAGACAATGAAGATACATTAGTAGTATGAAACATTTTAATTAAAAAAATGAGCATGATTACATTAAACTATATATTATACAATCTATGCCAAAGATTTAACATAAATAGTTAAACCTGCTGTGACTTCAGACTAGCAGAACAAACCAGAAAACTCAGCAGGGTCAGTATAAATTATGCTTAGGTATCGGCATAAGGAGACTTTACTCCACCATTGCTAAATCTTTCAGGCTGTGGCTTTTTTGTCTCTTGGCCTTATAGCCTGGACGTAGGAATTCTATCTTTCTCTTCTTTGCTTCACTTTTATTTTTGTGTCTCTTCAGTTTTTTCTTGGCAGCAATATCAGGATTAGTTACAAACTTGAAAAGAGAATAGAAATTTTAAATTACTTTTAAAGTAAATGTTAAACCGTAAAAATCAAATACAGAAAATGTACCACTTTGTTCACTTTTGAACAGTGTGAATGAAATACATGCCCATTAAAGGAAATGCGGAGCCCCAGCTACAAAGTCCCCACCTCTCAAACCCTCAGTCCCCCCTGGGTAACTGTGACACACACGCATGTACATCCCTGGTTTAAAATAGTGATTAAGCCTAGTGAACATGCCATATTTTCAAATGGCAAACTTACCTCCAGAGCCTTCCTCTTTTTCCGGAGTGCCCTTTTCTCATTAGCCTGTTTCTGTACAGAGGCAAAAGCTAAAGAGAAGCTCTCGAGCCCAACCAGCTTTTTAAGTAATTCTATGATTTCCTGGGATAGATTCTTCAGCAAAGGATCTAATCACACACAGAGAGTAATGTAATAATAAGAGACAGGTGGGGAAGAACACATCTGAGCATCAACAGAATCAACAATATACAGCATTTAAACTCCGGCAGCATTATCACTGTCATTACTCCAACACTACAAACTGATCTAGAACTGGCCTCTGTGTTTCTGAGAGGAGAGAACGAGCAGAAGAGCTGGCCACGGCACTCCCAGCCACACCTCATCCAGGATGCAACGAGAGCTCAGAGGCTGCGAGGCCCACTTCCCAGCAGAAACCAGGCTTTGAAGACGTTAAAGTAACTTGAGAACGTGACAGAAATGTTTTGGGTTACCTTTGTTAACCTGCTCAGCTCTTTGCAGATGAGGGAAAGGTAAGACAGCTTGTCTGTAATCTATGGGTCACAGAAGCTTAGTTCTGCCCATGATAACCGTGTTTTTTGGGGACAAAAAGCTATATTCTCCCACCCTGCCTTGCCCTCTCTCACCCAAATTCAAATAACACACAGATTATTGCATTCAATTTCAGGAGGGCTCAGGACATCTGTATTAGATTGCAAGCTTCTTAAAAACAGGCCTTTTCCACTGTTGAACCCCCAGTGCCAGGCAAATATTAGGTGCTCATTGAAAGCTGGGAGACCAGAATTTGGCTCTGTCAGCAGACCCAACCTTCAAGATGGCTTTTTCTTCTCTAAATGCAAGGAAACTTTCTCTCAAGGTTGTAGGACTAAAACAGCTCCTGCTTTAACATTTACTTCGTTTATTTTTAAACTTCTAACTCCCACTTTACTTCCTCTCTTTCCAACCCCCAGTTCCTTCTTTTTCTGTTATCAATGATTAGGATCAGTGAGGGAAATGTACCAAATGTACCAAGCAAGGAAAATTTTAAAAAAACAAGGAAACATTACAATGATATTTAAAAACTATTTCATATAAAAATGAAAATGCTTATATTTTTGCTTTATAATTCTTAAGAAGAGAATGTAACAACATTGTTCATAGCACTATGAGGTTTAGAACCACCCCGAAGTGTAGTTTTCTTTAAATATTTAATCTGTGCTTAGGAGTAAAATATCATCTTTTAGTAGAGAAATGTTTACTCTTAAACAGGAGACAGCATATAGAGAGAGCAATCAAAAATAATAATGCCTAGTTGCTACTAATTGTCCTGATACCAGACAAGTTTTCTTTCTTAAACTCTAGCAGGGAGAGAGGACAGAAAAGAAGGAAGTATTTAGGAGAGAAATTACTAATCCGCATGTGCAAATATTCAGGAGAACAAAGATGGCAGAGTTACCTTGTTCCGAATAGGTGCTGTTCAGTTCTCGAAACAAAGGAGCTATGATCATTGGGAGATATGGCTTTACCTTGTCTATCCCAAGATCCACTGCTACAGCGCCAAGAAACTTATAGATGCACATTCTCTGAAAGTACAGATCATTTTTAATTTGAAATGTTTCTCTTTGGCACTCAGTCATACAAACAGAGTTAATTTGGAAAACAGGGTTCAGGTCTGGCCCGTTAGCTCAGTTGGAGCGTGGTGCTGATAACACCAAGGTCCAGGGTTCGATCCCTGTACTGGCCAGCCACCAAAAGAGAAAGAAAAGAAAACAGGGTTCAGTCTATTTTGGGACAGATGTTATTCCTGCAGTTTTAGATTTAAAAGGTAAAGTTCCTAGGGACATGGGAAGATCACTAATACCATTAAAATACTTTTTTTTTTTGAGGGCTGGCTGGTACAGAGATCGAACTCTGGATCTTGGTGTTACCAGCACCACACTCTATCCAACTGAGCTAACTGGCCAGCCCCTCGTTAAAATACTTTTTAAAGACCGGTTCCCGCTCACTGGCTGAGTGAGGTGCGGGCACGACACCGAGGGTTGCAATCCCGTTGCCGGTCCTGGCCCGGTACGGGCGCGACACTGAGGGTTGTGATCCGTTGCCGGACACGAAAAAAGACAAAAAAAAAAAGGAAAAAAAAAACTTTTTAAAAAATGACTTTTCAGTCACTCTGTGCATTCATCATACCTTCAAGGGGTTCCTAGGTGAATAAGCAGCTTCCAGTTTTGCTATCCGGGACAACTTCTGGATCAACCACAGCAGTGTGGCTGGCGTGCCCTGCTCCTCCTTCACCTCTTCCTCCTCTTCTCTGTCAGACACTGCCTTTTCTTCTGCACAGGCCTCATGTTCTTCTCTCGCCTCTCTGGCCACACCACCTCCTAAGGCTTCTTGTCCTCTCATGTCTTCTTTTATCTCACCTTGCTTCTTCTCAGAAGCAGGTTCCAGTAAATACAAGACCTTGGCTACGAACAATAAATTCTTAACAACCTTTCAAAAAAAGGGAGGAGGAGGAATTGGACTTTGATTTTGAAACAAATATGGCTTGTTAGAGCATAAGCTAAAGTAAGTATTCTACAATTAGAAAATAAGAACAAAGAACTGGGTAATGCACTATTAAACTGATAATTCTTAAGTTCTTTCTTATAGTGTGTCCAAACCCACTTCCTTGTAACTTTGGTCCATTTGGCTTAGTTCTACCCTTTAAAGGTCACACACAATAAGTAAACAATTTCATTCCAGACCAACCATTTACATTTTTAAAGAGCTCTTTCACTCCCACCTCCATTAAATTCCTTCAACCATTCTACATAGAAATAGTAACTTCTATTTACTGAGTACTGACTACTTACTTTATACACAGCATTCCAAGTCAACTTTAACATATTCCTGTCAGGTACTACGTATCAGGAGAAAAATCCAAGGCTCAGAGTTCTTACTCACCCAAAGACTAAGTGGTCAGTCAGGATTCAAAGGTCCTTAGAATTCAAGCCCAAGTTCTTACCTCCCTCCTCAAATCCCATCTAATCCAGCTAGTTAAACAGCCCAGGGACTGATTTTGGCTTATAATAATGGACATATTTACTTGAGTTTCTAACTCTGTGACATCTATAAAATCTCTGGTATAGGTATATCACACCTGTTATGTGAGGGAAGAAACCAAGTCAGTTTTGAATTCCTTCACTATTCTGGCTGCTAAATATGATGTGTGTCAAAAGTTCTCCCAAATATAGAGCTCAGAACTTCACACTCTCTAAGGACAGCCTGCCCATCAAGAGTTAATGCCAAGATTATAATTTCCTTCTCCTGGAGGTTTGGCCTCCATGAATACAGCCCAGGTTTGGAGGCCTCTTCCCCTTGCAGCAACTACATCACCCTGTTAATTCACCCTACGATTATTGTTAACTAAAATCCATAATTTCTTTCATCCTAGCGCAGTAATAGTAAGTATCTTCCTCCAAGTATGGCCTGCCAGCCCTGGTTAAAACTGATATTGGGTGATACCTGACCTGCTGTCTACTCTGGCAGGATTTCTTTGGCCCTGCTTTGCCATCCACTGGTTAGCTATCCTTTCCTTCCCCAAACCTGCTGTATAGTGAAGCATGTTATTTCTTCATTGCAAAATGTGACAAGTGTCAGCATTTATGGCATGTTACTTGAGATCACTCTTTAGATATAGGCATTCCCCTAATTTCTAGTCCTCCTATCGCTTAATCTACATTGCTCCATCTTATCCATAAAGACTCAGAAGGGACGTGCTCAAAGGCCTTACAAAATGTGACAAGTGTCAGCATTTATGGCATGTTACTTGAGATCACTCTTTAGATATAGGCATTCCCCTAATTTCTAGTCCTCCTATTGCTTAATCTACATTGCTCCATCTTATCCATAAAGACTCAGAAGGGACGTGCTCAAAGGCCTTGCTCATATCCAGATAGCACAGCTGTGTCAGTTCGTCACCTACCAGCCCAAGTGCTCTACCAAAAGAGAAAAAATAAAAAGGAGCAGTAGGCCACCTGTTCAAAAGTAATTTATATTTACAGCACATTTATAACTGCCTTCTCTATATTTACATTTTATAATATGAAAACTTTTTAATGTTAGAATGATTTATCTGCCTTCTTTTGAGGATAGACAATTCTCAGACCAAAGTGAGTGGTCAGTCAAGATTCAAGGATCCATAGAATTCAAGCCCAAGTTCTTACCTTTCTCCTCAAATTCCATCTAATCCAGTTAGTTAGACCAGGGACTGATTTTGGCTTACAATAATGGGCCTATTTATTAAGGCCCTCACTGTGACATTTATAAAAATCTCTGATGTAGGTATTTCACACACGTTATGTGATGAAGGAAACCATATAGCATGGGAGGAAACCATGTAGCATGAATTTTATTGTTTTCTGTTTATTGTTTGAAATTTACTCTTTTCTGGGGAGAGGAAATTTAATATTATAGTTTAATAGAAAAATATTCACTCAATCAACCAACCAATTAATGCCCTTTAAAGCTTCAGTCACATGTGAAATAGATTTCTTGGCTGAAGATGAAAAGATTAACAGCCAGCATCCCACTTTATCACGTTTAATGGAAATTTTAAATGGAGCCAAGAGTAATCCCAACATTGACCTTGGAGTTGTCTGCACGTGTGGATAACTGAACATGTATTTGAGTACATTATCTGTATTTCATCTAATTCCCCAAGCATTAAAATAGATTAAAAACAAAACAAATATAAGCCTATTCCTAGACTATAGGTAGAATAGTAGGTCCCTTCTATTAAAGTGGGAGGACTACAATTCTTACCTGCTCTCCTAGAGACTGATCCAAGAATTTGGAATGTAATTGGTGGCAAGAAGCCAGAGAGATACTTTTCATCTGTGAAAAGAAAATCAACATTGGAAGACATAACAAAGGGCATTTCTGACTGTTTCATAGAACTAATTATTACTAACCAAAATACGACTGATGTACTAGAGTTTACCCTGAATGACCACCTGCATAGATCTGGAGAGAAAATGTTCAAGACCAGAAGTTGTGTAATTGTTCCCTTCTACCTGCTCCAAGCATTTCTGCCCCCCAAAATGGAATACTTTCATGCTCCGGGGAGATACAGGTAATCACTCCTTATATTATTAGTAGAGCACTTTTCAACATGTCCATATTTACTTCCTTTTTTCTTCACATCTATCTTTTGCTTATTCAACATTTACAGAGTTCCCACTAGGAGCCAGATGTTGTACTAGTCCCTAAGAAATCTGGGACAGATACACATGGTCCCTACCAAAAATCTTTTATTTTTTTCCTTTTTGTCTTTTTTCGTGACCGGTAATGGGATCGCAACCCTCAGTGT